CTGCTCCAAGGGAGAACGATAAGGCTGATTTATTTACAGTCTCAGAAACCCCATATAGGGTCACTATGAGTCAGAACTCAGTGACGGTGGGTTTGGATTTTTGGTAATATATTTCTTCGTATCAACACGGGGAATACTGTCATTATTCCCATTTTAAGGATGAAAAAACTGAGGCTTCCAGAGGTGAAGTGACTTACCTAAGATCAAATAGCCAGGAAAGGTTTGAACCAAAGCCTGCCCATCTCCACGGCTCAAGTCCTGGTGTGGTGCTGTGGGTTCGTGCGCCGGACTGCAAGGTCGGCTGTTCAATCTCACCAGCCGCTCCTCGGAAACCCTATACAACAACACTAAAAGATGGGCTCCCATGGGGAGCCATTAGGGGCAAGCCATTAGAGGTATATGGCAGAGGCAGAGTGTTTTGGCAAGAGCAGAGGCCCAGGGCAAGCTGAGGCCAATGCCTTTGGGTTGGGCTGGGCAGGCCGCCTCTGGGTGGGGCAGGAAGCCAGAGGGAACTGCACTATACCAAAAGGCAAAATCCTCTGGGCTCCTAGAAACATCCACTGGTCTGAAATACCTTTTTTTTCCAAACTGTGGTTTGGGTGAAAGTTTACAGAGCAAATTAGTTTCCCATCTAACAGTTTATTCACATTTTATTTCCTAACATCACTTGCCATTCCCTCAATGTAACACTCTTCCTACACTCTACCCTGGGTTCCCTGTTTCCATTTGTCCTTCTGCCCCATCCTACCTGTTGAGCTTTGTTTGGGGGCAAATGCTGCCCTTTTGGTCTGGTCTGGTTCATTATCCTGAGGAGCATATACCTCACAAGTATTACTGCTCACTTTATAAAAAGTGCTATCCGTCTCTCTGCATGAATCCCTGGGGGTGGGTTCAGTTTCAGGACTGAAAGGTGTCTAAAGGCCTTGGGGTCCCACCAGTAAGTGGGACCAGTAAGTCTGATCTTTATGATTCTGAATTTTGTTTTACATTATTCTCACATTCTATCCAGAACTGTGTGAGGCCCAGTCAGAGCAGCCGGTATTGATAACTGGGCCTTGTCTAGTTCTTCTGGTTTGTGTGGTTCATTAGGTTTGTTTGTTTTTTTAACTTTTTAATGTGATTTGAGTGAAAGTTTACAAAGCAAATTGTTTTTCCATTTGCCAATCCATCCTCATTTGATCTGCAACACTGCAGTCCCCGAACTGTGGCAGTGTTACTCTCCCTACTTCCGCCCTGTGTTTGTCATTTCCAGTGTCCTCTCTCCTACCCCTCCCTGCCTTTTGAGCTTTATCCTGGGCAAATGCTGCCCTTTTGATGTCATGTGGTTGATTGTTCTAAGGAGTACTCCCTTCCAGGTGTATTGTTCACCTTATAGGATTGTCTATTGTTTGGCTGAAATTTGAGCCAATTCCAGGTGAGTTCAGTTGCTGGCTTGAAGAGTAACTAAGAAACATAGTCTTAAGGATTTGAAGTGCCCTTTTTTAACGGTGTTTTCATTATATTTTTACATATCCTTTTTTAAAAATTACAAAATCAACACATTCTTTAAAGAAAATTGAGAAAAACAGATAACTATAAAAAACAAATTGAAATCATCATTCAGTCCTCCAATCAGAGATAACCACCACCAGCATTTGTGATATATTTCCTTATGATTGTCCTATGTATTCATTTCTTATGTATCCTATGCATGCGCTTCCCACAAAATTAGAATCAAGCCATCTTTCAGTTTTATATCCTCTTTTGTTTACTAAACAGTTTATCATGAGCATCTTTCCACATTGTTATTCCTTTGAGATTTTGAGTTTTTAAAAAATATTTACTGGGGATTTTCCGATGATTAAAATTTTGAAGTGTATGTCTGTCACAGAAAAAAAAAAAAAAAGACAATCTAGAAAATCTAAAGAAAACTTGTCATAATCTCACCCTCTAGAAGATCATTTCCATGAACATTTTGCTCTGTTTCTTTCCAGAACTTTTTTCTATAAACATTAATAAAATTATATAGGCAGAGAGATACACATGGACACATACATATATTTTAAAAGAAGTAATTGAAACAGCACATCTTCCCTCAGGTTGTGTATAAAGCAAGATGTCCACACTCAAATGTCCAGAGCCCACACAGGGAGCTGAAATGAGTGAAAAGGGCCAGCTGGGCCATGGGGCCTGGACTAACAAGCATTTTCAGCACAAGGGCAAGTTTTCAGTTTTCAGGCCAAACTTCAGGCCCTATGTTACCAGACCCTCCAGTTTTCCAAGAGAAGTGGTAAATCCAAGTTAAATGAAATCTTTTGACTCATAAAGGTTAGTCACTAATTCATAAAGGACTCCTGGTATGGTGGTATAGGATCAGCACTGGACTGCAAACCACAAGGTGGGCAGTTCAAACTCACAAGCTGCTCTTCAGAAACCCTATACAGGGCTGTTATGAGTCAGAACCGACTTGACACTTAACAACAACACTCAAAAACACATTAAAAGACTGCATGGTGATTTTTTCAACAAACAAATGAAGAGGAGTAGGGGAGAGATAGAGGGGCAGCCTGTAGCTTAAAAGGAATAATGACAATGAGTGGGCTTTATTTGGATTTTAAAACAAACACGGTGTCCTGGTGTGGCACTGTGGGCTAACGGGTCAGACTGCAAATTCGTTTGAACTGCAAGGTCAGTGGTTCAAGCTCACCAGCTGCTCCTTGGAAACCCTATACAGGGTCACTATGGGTCGGAATCAACTCGAAGGCACTTAACAGCAACAACAAAGCATACACACATATAACAACATGCGTTTAACTTCTAGAGAGATATGCTGAAATCTTTCAGATGAAATTATATGATATCTGGGAGTTGTTTGAAACTAATATAAGAAGAGGATATGCTCAATGTTATAAAGCTCCTTTAGTGCTGCCAATAAATGCCCAAAGGGTATGCCATTCCCTCCTAAGCCTCAGCCCAGCATGTTTGGCTCCCCCAATTCAGTGCCTTGAGGCCACCTACTTCTCAAGCAAGCCTCCAGCCCAGAGGCACTCAGCTTTCCTTGCTCTGTGAGCTGGGAAGCTCACCTCTCTGTTGAATACTCTGGCTATCCTGTGTCTCCTGGATGGAGGAGGTTCAGTACACCGGGATGTCAAGGTTCAAAGGATGCACTCTACCCCGGCTTTTTCTTGATGATCGTGAGATTACCCCCTTACTGCTTCTGAGATGGCTCATTTTATACCCAGCAGGATGGCACCATTGACCAATCCCCACTTGAGATTTCCAAGTTTTTACAATGAACCCTGTTAAAAATCACTCAACTCAATCATAGAAACCTATCAGTACCTTCTCCCAGCTTCTATTGCCAAGATCCATCAGGATAAGAAAAATACACCCAATCTACATGGTTCTTCCGGGCATTTGGTGGGAGTTACACAAAGACTATGGCCAGAAAAACAATATCAAATAATTCACTGCACTACAAGATGAAATAAAATTAGTCATAAACTAATAATTGTTGAATCTGGATAATGGGCATTAATTCTGTTACCTGTGTACAATTATAATTTTTCACAAATAAGTTAAGAAAACAAAAACCCAACAGGTCTGTGAGGCAGTGTCAGATATTGGAGACCCACTTTGCAAGCTCCACCCCTGTGGCTGGGTGTCTGTTAGTATTGCAGTCTCTCACCGGGAGCTGGGCATACAGAGTTTGAGAAAGCATGTCCCAGATTAAGATTTAATTTTATACTTGGAAAACTAGAGGAAAAAACCTGTTATGATGATATAAATTGCAGAATGGTACCATTTAACAAAAATCTTGGCTTGGTTTAAAGAATCTAAGAACCACTTTTGTTCTTGCTTTGTTTACTTATGGTTAATAAGAATATTTTTCTTATCACTAGACAATCTTCAAAATACCTTTAATAACTGGAATGTTTGTATCTTTCCCTTTTCCCCCCTCCTTATCAGAGTAACAGCCAGTCTCTTTTAGAGACCTTACTCACTCATCCTTTATTCTGTCAATAAACTACGTAATATTGAAGGCTATTGGCCAAATATCTTCCTGAGGTATGTCCGCACTGCTGAGGACACAGTGATTACCAGACTAGCACAGACCCTACTCCCCCTTTAGAGTCAGCCTGTGGACTTTGCCACTTAGTAGCTGTGTGACCTTGAACACAATCCCTAACAGCTCTGTGCCTCAGCTCCCTCCTTTGCTAAACGGTCTCACAGGGTTGTTGTGAAGATTACATGAGTTAGTATGTGAACGTTCTGGAGCTATGTTCTAATTGGGGAGGCACGCGATAAAATGATGTATGAAATTCTCCTTAAGGGAAAGATGGAGTGGGGAGGAAAGAAGAGGGTGGGAAGAAGAGTTGGAAGGAGAGATAGAGGAGGGAGAGAAAATGAAGGAGAAGAGAAGTTCAAGGGGAGGGAAAAATAGAAGAAGGGAGGCAGGAGGCCTTATCTGCCCTTCCTAATGATAAGAGTATGTCAAATAAACCAAGGATCATGCTTAATCCAATTCTGGGCAGCTGTGTTTCATTAAAGAGCCCCTGGGTGGCTGAAATGATGAAGCGCTAGGCTGTTAGGAAAGTTTGGCAGTTTAATCCACTCAGAGGCACCTTAGAAGAAAAGTCTATCTCCAAAAAAATCACAGCTATTGGAAATCCTATGGTGGGCAGTTCTACCCAGAAACACATGGGATCGTCATGGGTCGGAACCGGCTTGAAGGCATCTGGTTTGTTGTTTTTTGTGGTTCATTAAAACAAGTGGAGTCCTGGTGTGTTGACCGCAAGGTCAGTTTGAACGGCAAGGTTGGCGGTTCAAGCTCACCAGCCGCTCCTGGAAACCCTATACAGGGTCACTATGAGTTGGAACCGACTCGACGGCATTTGACAACAACAAAACAAGTACACAAATGAATCAACGCAGAGTAAGAGGTTCAAGTGCCTCAGGCCCAGGGAGCCAAGCTGGCAGGAGGGGAAGGGCTCACACGGGTCTCGCTTGTGTCCCCGCAGAGAGCGCCTTCGCCGACACGCTTACACCTGCCCGTCTAAGTCTGGCCCGCTTCAGCGCCTGTCTGCCTCCCAGCAGCCATGACGCCGCCAACTTCGACAACAATGAGCTGGAGAACAACCAGGTAGTGGCCAAGTTGGGACAGCTGGCGCTGGCACCTGCCCCGGGCGCACCGCCCGTCGACTCCGCGGTCGCAGCCATCCCGTGCGGGCCCCGTGACCGCCCGCGGCCCTCGTCGTCCCCCGCACTGCTCGAGGCCGACCTGCGCTTCCATGCTACCCGCGGACCCGACGTGAGCCTGTCTGCCGACCGCAAAATAGCCTGCGCGCCAAGGCCTGATGGCGGCCGCACACTCGTCTTCTCTGAGCGGCCCCTGCGGCCTGGCGAGAGCCTCTTCGTGGAGGTGGGCCGCCCGGGACTGGCGGCGCCCAGCGCTCTGGCCTTTGGCATCACATCGTGCGACCCAGGCGCTCTCCGGCCTGCCGAGCTGCCCGCCGACCCCGACGCCCTGCTCGACCGCAAGGAGTACTGGGTGGTAGCGCGCGCCGGACCCGTACCTAGTGGCGGGGATGCACTCAGCTTCACGCTCCAGCCCAGCGGCGACGTGCTGCTAGGCATCAATGGGCGCCCACGCGGTCGTCTGCTGTGCGTGGATACCACGCAAGCACTCTGGGCCTTCTTCGCTGTGCGCGGTGGCGCTGCGGGCCAGCTACGCCTCCTGGGTGAGTACCCGCCCCGTCCCAGGCACGAGGGTCCCATCCCAGGAACCCTGGATCCTTGTTAGCAATAGCAACCCTGAACCTTAGCCAGCAAACTGGTCCCATACTGAAATATGTATCAGAATGACCAGGGGGTTCATTATGGCACAAGATTGCTGGACTCCACCTTTTTCCCGTTCAGTGGGACCCGAGAATGTACATGTTTCTAATAAATGTTACATTGCTGGTACCTGGCCCTAACTATTTGCTGGTCTTGGAGTTCAGCACAGTCCATAAATGGTCGGTGCCAATTTTATTTCTGGTATTAACAGGCCCTTCTCTGAACCACCATTGAGACCAAGGTATGTTGTTGTTAAGTGCCGTCGAGTCAGTTCCGACCCATAGCGACCCTGTACAGGGTTTCCGAGGGTGTAAATCTTTACGGGAGTAGAAAGCCTCATCTTTCTCCCGCGGAGCGGCTGGTAGTTTCGAACTGCTGACCTTAAGGTTCGCAGCCCGATTCGTAACCACTACGCTACCAGAGCTCCTTATAGACATTTTTATTTGCCTGATCTGGATTGTATGTGTCAGGGTAGGATAAGACCCCAAGGAAAACTCTAGCGTCCTTGCTGAAATAAGTGGGAATAGATGCTGGGCAGGCAAAGAACAGATGTCTGTCATACACATAAGCTCGTGGCAGTTCTGAGCAGAGCTCTATGAGATTGCTCTTGGGCTCCCATTAGGCAAATGGGGAAGCTAAGGTGCAAAGTGGTAGAGATCCACGGAGTAGCGGGGCCGGTAGAACCTGGAACAGTCCCTGATGGATCCCCTTTGGTTCTTAGGCACCCTGCAGTCCAGCCCTGCAACCACATCTCCATCAGGATCCCTCAGCGGCTCCCAGGATGATAGTGATTCTGACATGGCCTTCAGTGTCAACCAATCTTCCTCCGCATCTGAGTCATCGCTAGGTAAGGGAACACATGCCTTTGGGTGAGAGCAGGAAATGTCGCTGGCTTGGCATCTTTGTCTGGGCCAGCAGACTTCCCAGGCCTAAAAGCAGGGTGGCTACCTCTCCTCCTTGCATCCTTTCCTACCCTCGGCCGTGTGTTTGCTGGAGGGAGGAGAAACATCTAGGTATTGTGTCTCAAGGGGGGTAACAAGGGTGGCATTTTTTCTGTATACATGGGGATAGAGGAACAAGGAGAAAGACAAAATTGTTCTTCCATGGGTCCCACCATAGAAACTGCATTCTAGGGGTTGTCTCAGCCAATCCTGCCTGAGAACATTATTCAAGCACGCCCTGTTTTCCCTTCCTGCAGTGACAGCCCCCAGCTCCCCACTGAGCCCCCCAGTGTCACCGGTGTTCTCCCCCCCGGAGATGGCAGGCAGTAAGAATGGTGAGTGCACGGTCTGCTTTGACGGCGACGTAGACACGGTCATCTACACGTGTGGACACATGTGCCTGTGTTACACCTGCGGCCTGCGGCTCAAGAGGCAGGCCCGGGCTTGCTGCCCCATCTGCCGGAGACCCATCAAGGACGTGATTAAGATCTACAGGCCGTAGCCTGGCCCACTCATGGGCCTTGCCGGAGCAAGGTCACCTTTCTGAAAGCCCCCTGGGCCACGCAACTACCATGACCGCCAGGGAGCCCAAGGGTAGTGGCCATCCCGTCCACCACTCCCCAGTGGAGGGCAAGCCCTGACAGTTGTGGAGATGAGGCCCCAGGGGTCTGAGCCCAGGCCAGGGCTCAAAGTGCTTTGCCCCGAAAAGGCCGTCCTAAGAGTGAGTTTAGGAACTGCCTGACGGGTCACCCTGCCTGCCCCTTGGTGACTTTTCAGCAGGGAAACAGCGTCCTCTGTCTGTGCAATGCTTTTTCTGGGGTTGGGTTTGAGTGTGTGTGAGAGGGAGGGAGGGAAACAGAGAAAATGAAAGAAATAATAGAGAACATGTGAGAGAAAGAGCACATAAGAGAATGCACGGGTATTTTATACAGGGATCCCCGCTCCAGGACTGTCCAACACTGTGGAATGTGCAGTCTGGAGCCCAGCTGATAGTGTTCACTTTCCGGAGGTGTGACGTATCTGGTTTTGAATGTACGAAGCCTGAACCTAAACACAACTCCCTTGGTTGGTATAGAAAAAGGACACTCAGATTTTCTAAGGGGAAGAAAAAATAACTCATTGTTTACAGCTTCAAAGCAGCAACTCCTTGTGGGGGAAGGTGGGTGGAGAACATAAAAGAACAATTTGCTTGTTTAGTTTCTTACTCAGGCTTTGGGAGGAATTTTGACGAGTGCTGTGGGGTCTAGAAATCGGGGCTGTGTCATCACCGGAAGTTTTTTCACCCCTTTACCCTCTGACACCCTAACAATAAGCACATTGCACCTTAGAAGCTTTTAGCCTCCTGAGCCTTTGTGGCCTACCTTCCCCTCTCTGTGAGAAGACAAGCGGCAGGTTTTCTTTTCTGGGGAGGGAAAAGCATCCTCGAGGTGGTGACTCACCTCAAGTTGGAAAGGCCACTCCACAGCACAGAGGACTCCACATGTCCGGCTGTAACCCCTAGGCCTGCTGTTAACCAGTGGGGCTGTACCCACAGGTGTTCCCAGACAGCCTGCTGGAGAGCCAGGGGGAGTCAGTGCTCTCCTCAGGCTTGGGCTGTGGAAAGGGGCTCAGTTCTCATTCTTGGCTAACCTGTGCTTGCTAATTATGAAGGTGTTCATTGGTAATTAAGATGTTAACTAATAATTGGTACCTGTCGAGTCAGTTCCGACTCAAGGTAATTCCCTGTGTGTCAGAGCAGAAGGGTGCTCCACGGGGTTTTTTTCAATGGCTTATTTTTTGGAAAGTAGATTGGCAGTTCTTTCTTCCAAGGTGCCTCTGGGTAGACTCGAACCTTCAACCTTTTGGTTAGCATTAACTGTTCTGAGAGTCCCACCCAGACTCCAATAATTGCAAGCAGTAACTGATAATACTGGCATGATGATTCTTCTTCTTCCAGCCCAGACCCTACCCCCTGGCCCATCTCCGTAGATTCTGGGAGCACACCTGGGCTGATGAACTCTTCTCTCTTCCCCTTAGTTCTGGATCCCTCTTTGCCCTGTCTTGTGCTGTCAGCGAGGAAGCCTAGAACCCACTCACTTCTTGGGAAGATCAGCACAGCATTTAAAAAAGCCATGTAAAGAGCAGGTCTCATTTTTATTACAATTCCTAACCTGTTCATCTGCTGAGGGAGACACAGTAGAGAGCACTTTGGAGTTTATGTGATCATACAGTAAACCTTTGCTGGGAGCCAGGCTTGGCCCTCACCAGACCATGTCCAATCAAACCAGTTGGTGCCCTTGTGATGCTCAAGGACTGGGGCCAACTATGCCTTCTCTGGCTGAATGGTCATAGTTTTCTGAGTCCATGTCAACTTTAGAAACCCCATTCTTTTATCTCTACAAGAACCCAAATTTAATTTATAAAAAAACAACAACGTTGCCGTTGAGTTGACGCCAACTAGTGGTGAACCCTGTGTGTGTCCAAGTAGAATAGTACTCCACAGAGTTTTCAATGACGGATATTTTGGAAGTATATCACCAGGTCTTCTGAGGTTCCTTTGGGTGGACTTGAACCTCTAACTTTTCAGTTAGCAGCCAAGCAAGTTACCCACTATTGGTTGTTTTTTCTTAATGAGTTATTTTAATTTTGCAGCAGAATCATTTGAGGAGCTACCTTTGGAGTCCCCAAAACAGTGGCATCACTGGGGGGGTGGGGGGAATGTGGGAGTTGTGGACCATACCAGGTGACCCTGTCAGAAGGGGTAACACCAGAATGACTGTCTATAGAATTTTTGTGCAATGTTTCAGCAGAAATGTATTATTTTTTATAAAAATATCTCTGTAGTTAGTTATAACAACAAAATCATTTTTTTTCCGTAAACTCAGCTTACATATATCAATATACCTACCAGGCTGAAACTACGCTAATTTACATTATAAACCTTCCTATGTGGTCCAGTCAGAGTAATTACTATTACCCAATTACAATGACGCTTCAAACCGTCTGCACGCGCTGTTGTAGTTTAAAGGTGTCATTTTAATTTTGGTAGTTGTTTATGTCACTATCACCATTACATTCTGGTAAGATACATGAGTAACAGTAGTACAGAAAGCATGACTAAGGATTCTGTATGGTCTGGTTTAGGAGGGGGTCCATGGGGGGGGGACACATAACACCAGTGACGCCACTGCCCCAGTGTAAGAGTCTGAGACTATTAGGCGGCCCTCACTCGATGGCAGTGGGTTTGGTATTTTGGTTGCTCACTGCATGCTGTACTGGCTTGTGTGGGAAGCTGCGGATTGGATTGGCCACCCCGCACCTTCGGTTCTCCAGTAGCAGACACCCTGCCTGGATCGAGCCATAGTCACAAGCTCTCTCCGGCCTGAGGGTGCAGCTTCTCTCTCTGGCCGCCCCCTTGGGTTCCTGCTGGGTCATATGCAACCAGCACCAGGAAGCAGTGAGTGAGGGCCTGAGGTAGGCCAGGCCGTGCCCCCTCTACCTGTTACCTGGGAAAAAAGGATCTAGTGGCCTGCTTAACCTATTCTGCAGCCTCTATAAATAGCTTCCCTGCTTCCAGAAGAAGTTAGGGGGTGTTTATCTTCTGAAAACCAGACATTTCCGGATGTTCTGCACTGACTTACTCAGTGCTACAGAGGAGACACTCACATCCACCTCTGTTCTGTTTTGTAAAGGGGGTAAGAGGAAGCAGGAAGACACATCTGTGTGTCTCAGTACTGGGCTAAAGAAGTGTCACCATGCATTCATTGATCCTGGGAGGAAGTCTTTTTGCCACACTGAGGCACATCTAAGACACCATCAATTATAAAGCACACAATTCTATAATATTCCACCAAAAAAAAAAAAAAAGGTTTAAAGCCAACTTTTAACTGTCAGAGGCCACAACGCTAAATTCATTCCAGTCAGAAATGTTATATGGTGCTACCTAGAGTCAGTGAAATACGGTATTTCCCTCACCTGGCAGATGAGCCTGAGCTCTTGCAAGTGGAGTGACTTACCAGGGTCCCACAGCAGGAGGCATCGGGCTGGGGTGCAAACCAGGAATGTCTGGTGCCAAGTCCCAGCTTTCCACTGCTTGGATGGTGCAAACAGTTAAGCACTTGACTACTTGACATAAGGTTGGTGGTTCAAACCCACCCACAGGTGCCCTCAAAAGACAGGCCTGGTGATCTGCTTCTGCCAAGTCAGAGCTTTGCAAATCCCATGGAGCACAGTTCTACTCTGCACACACTGGGTCGCCATGAGTCGGAGCAGACTTGACAGCACCTAATAACCATCACTGCCTAGCCCCGTGTCCCAGCAAGCCTGAGGCTGCCCAAGTTGTCTTTGGGCAAGCCCTGGACAGGGCCCGGGCACCTGCACTTATGTGGAGGGAGCTAGAAAACCAGCAGGGTTCAAGTTCTGGAACCTGGTCCCTCTGCTGTGCACACACTGAAAGGCCCAGAGTCCTTCTCTCAGGCTCAGGTGCCGCAACCCACCTTCTTCCCTCGTAGCGGAGCTCGTTCAAGTCCTGGCTCCAACCCCAGAGCCTCCGGCAGTTTGTTACCAGAGCAGTCCATGTGGGCCCTGTCATAGCACCCAGCCTCCTGATGTGCAGATTTACTGTCCAGAGCCTGCTCCCTTCTGTGCCACTGCAGCCAGGCCTCCAGGATTAAGACAGGAACCCAGAAGACACCTCCTTGGCCTGTGTGGCCTGTTCATTTTGAACCTCCAGAGAAACGGGGCTGTTTCCCAGGCAAAGCAAGTTACTTTTCCTGGCCCTTACACTGGACCGGGAGTCAGTTTGGCTTCCGCCACTTGGGGGCGCCCGCTCCCCTGCCCTGACTGCAGCGCCTTTTCAGCCAGTCACCTCCCACGCATCAGCACACCCTGTGTTCTGTGCACTGGGTTGGAAACAAGCTGAAGGTGAAATGTGAAACCTTCAAGGAGCCCACCATCCAGAGGAGGAGATGGGGAAGATTGTCAGGGCCTCTGCTAGCACCTAGTAGGTACTCGTGAAGGTTTGCTGAACTCGAAGTCAAATACCAACAGCCAAGGCTTCACGGACACATGAATGACGTTAAAGTCATTCAACAAACGTTTGCTGAATGCCTACTAGGTGCAGGGTGCTGGCAGAGTATAGCAGAAAGGACTATGTCCCAGCTGATGTCAGGTGGGACATTTGGGGCAGAATTCACTCTGTTGCCTCGGGGTCCACCTGGGTGAATACCCAGGGACTGCCCTCCTGACCCAGAACCTCCTGTGCTTCATAGCCTCCTTTGCATTAGTTATGCCTGGCCCCTGGCAGCCCAGTTAGCCACTGCCAATAAAAAGGCCTTAGGCAGAATCCCTGTAGGCCCTACAGGTTGGTGATCACATGCACACTATGCCAGGGAGATGAGGTGGCAGATGGGTGCATATCTACTTTTAGACCCTGGAACTGGTTGCTGGAGATCAGTTCCTGAGGACAGGAGAATGCAGAGTAAGCTCCCGTTGAGAGCGAGGTTGTGCAAAGCCTTGGAGGAT